GCCCTGAAGATGATCTCAATAAAGATCGTAACGTTGGCACGATAAAGAAAATGTTTTTCTGAAACCTACATCACACCAGACGGCATCTCACGATTTCTAAATAAATATGTTTTAACGTGCATCATTTTCAGTAATGGTGGATTTCTTACTCTTTTTTGTAGTATCATCATCAACATTTATGTCAGTTGAATAGAAATAAGTTGAATAAAGCATTACACGTACGTTGCTGGTCATTCCTAGATCTGCCAATCTATTGCTGATTTTGTCTATCAGATCTGGCTGATTTGAGACCATCAAGCTACACATCCATTTTAAGGCCACAACACAAAATAGGCCAAAACTAAAGTGCATTTCTATTTAACCTCATCCTGTCGAGGTACTTTAAAATACAAATTGGAACACCATTCTCCCCAGCCACCATGCCAAAGTGAGTGTGCCACATGGCAACATACTACTTATTTTTATGTTATACGGGTAGCTTCAGAAATACAGACAACTACTTATAATTTAATTTAATTGTGAAATCAATTTTGTAGGTTATCTGTTTCCCCTTTTTTCTATTTTCTGTTTGCATACACAATTTCTCTAAAATAATTCGAAACAGATTTCTCAGTTTACCTTTCCGCAGACATACAGTTCTGGTGGGAATTGTTGGGAAGCTGGAGGACTCTGTAGAGGGCTTGGTGTCGCTGATCTGCTGTGGGGCGACTGGAGGTAAAGGAGAGATGGCCTTTTGTTCCTTTTCTCTTGCCTCCTCCGCTCGTGGCGGACTGCCACAGCAGGCATTGCACCGATCATTGCGGCCTCGTCTAAAGTAACAAAACAGAAAGAAAACAATCATCATCAACAGGCCTTTAAATAGTATCTTATTATTGGCATTTTATTGTGAGATTGTTAAAGTTGCTTCAATCAAATTTTTATAACTGGTAAACATTAAGAATTGAGTAAATTGTATTATTAAATATACGTGTTAATGATGACTGCTGTAATGTTATTTGTTACTTCTTGTTATTTTCATTTCTTGAAAATAAACTGTTTTATTAAACTCAATTTTTTATACCAGACGATGACCAACATAGAACAATTTTTTTTAAAAATTTTCCTAAAGGGTTGTTTTGTTTTATTTTTAATCTAAAGTGATACATAAATGTAATAATTAATAATTGCATTATAATAACAAAATTTATTATAAAAACTATAAATTTTTTTTTTTTGAATGGAGACATTCATGTCAGTTCAACAGCAGATCTGGTATCGTCTGGTACTTGCTGATCAGCATAGTATTGCTTTTCATCATTTTTAAGTAAATTGTAAGTACAACTTTCACAATCCACATATTTTCGTTAATGATTTTGAATTGAAAATGTAAGTTGGACAATACCTTACCTTGTCTGAAGTTTATTTTTTGGAAATTTTTTTACGTCACAAAAAATTTAGTTTTTACATTGTTTTAGAATTTAAGAGCTTGGTTATTGATTAATTATTAATCGCTGGATTCCTTGTGATGGATTATTTTCATTTTGAGTTTGAGTCTCTATTTACGTCATGTTTGTAAAATCAAGATTTAACATCGGGTATTTAAAACATTACAGCCCTGGTATGCTGTTTATGAGTGCTGAAATTGAAACACCATTTACAACATAATTTACACAATATTATATAGAATTGATTTCGAAGATTTATTTTTCATGTTTGTTCAACATTTATTTTAGGTGAAAGGAGTAAAATAAATTTGGTCTTGATCAATTGCGTTTATTTCAATGATAAGCTTATATAAAACTGTACAAAACGAACAGAATTGTGCACAAGAACAACAGTAAAAAAAGTAATTAACTAAAATATACAGAATTAATTATGTAGGAGAGAGCACGAGAGTAAAAACACCTTATTTTTTCCACTTTTACCTTGATGCAAAGAAATCATTTCCGAGCTAATGCGATATGCTAATACAAAACATAATTTCATCATACAAGCAAAATGATTTTTTTTTATCAAATAATAATCACAATTTATGATATTTACACACAATATTTTTTTCTCACTTTATCTTGGTTTTTAAAATAAATCTAGATATTCTTAAGTAAAGATTTGCTAAGTTAATAAGACAACTTCAGTCTTTTGATGGGTAAGCTGAGTATAGCATGAAGCAATACAATTATCACATATGAAAGACAAAAATCATAAATACATAAGATCGAGATAAATTCGTACTTAATATTAAATTAGAAAATTAAAAACAAATCTGTGCTTAAACATTGACTGGAATGAAATAAGGGCAAATTTGGAACAAGAAAGTCCTCAAAAGAATTGTTACATTGATACAAAAAATTATTGATAAACTAAAGCAATAATTTTGTTTATAAATTCGTAATTTAAGAATTCATAAGAGTAAATCTTGATTGTAAATAGCTTATAAAGGCAATGTTAATATATTTACAAATCTTTTAAATTTGTTTACGCGAACAGTTATTTTTATGATCAAGTTTTTAAATATATCGGTTTTTCTCCAGCTTATAATAACGCCTCACATTCCACCGTCCAAAAGTTTAATAAATGAAAAAAGAAAATATATGGTATTGTAAAATTGGCATAATTGCATAAATAAAAAAAATAAAAGAAATAATAATAAAAAACAATTTAAAAAAACATACATGCAACTAAAAACCAGCAATTTTTTTTTATACATATAATAAATGATAAATGTGGAACTTGCAATTATTATAAAAAAATAATGAATTTTAAATAGACAAATTATAGAAATAAAATGCTTAAAAATTTGATCAGCATGAGTAATTGACGTTTTTGCATTAAATTGCAAATGTTTAAAACTGTTACAACTACTTTATAGTGTTATTTATTACTGATTATTGGAAGAAATACTACACGTATTAAAACAGACACTAAATGGAATTCTAATATTTTTATATCAGCAGACTACGTATAAATAAAAAGATATAATACATTGCTTGGTACAAAATTAATAGAGTGAAAAAATCAAATTTGATTAGCAAAGTGATTTTTGTGGCAAAATGGAATCTTTCTTTGTTGTTTTCATTCAGTAACCTTAACTTACATAAGTTAACTTCCATATTGTGTCAATCAAATTTTATTCTTAAATTATTATATTAATGTTGTTACAATAATACAAATAATACTTTCATTATATTTTTATATTTGTATACAGAGAATAGAATATAATTATTATTGAGCATTTGTTTACTGTTTTAATCATGCAGATTAATGCTTTATATTATACAATGTTACAAAGAACAAATTGTAATTATTTTAATTGTATCAAAGTAATGATTGTGTTTTTATTTATTTATTTTTTTAAATTAAGCAAATATAAATTTCTCCTATGCACGTCTTCAATTACCTCTCTCTCATCATCAAAATTACATACGTTTTTGTTTATTGGACCCAACCCCAATTTACATCAATAACATTATTTTTCCATTTTCTGAAACTACATTCAGGCAGAACCAGCTGTGGTTACACTAACAACTAAAAAGGATTGGAAAAAATTGGACGAGTGGCAGGTTCGAAGCAAAAATGGGAAACGTTCAGTTTCAATGCTGTGTTTTCAATTTATTTGTATTCAAATGCAATTCCTCATTTACTTTATTTTTGCTGGAATATTTATAATATTTAACACAAAAAAATTCCTATATGGCAATATGATAGTCAACACTACCTATACGCAAGAAGAAACATTTGTTGAAAATCTTAAAAGCTACAATTTTTTTCTCGAGTGACATTAATAAATTCGCAATATATTGAATTCTCACAATTACAATATTTAACTATTATGAGGTATCACAAAACATTTATTATGGACAAAGAAGTTGATATGTTGAATGCATTGTTAAACAATTAACCTTTTGGATGGCGACATTTCACTTTTGAATTTATTGAGACAAAACAAAAATCATTTTTTTCTGAGTATTACTTTTATTTTGAATGTTATTTTCAATATTTCTAAATATTTAAAATATATTATTTTAAAACATGTATACAAGCATTGAGTATTGCAATTATGCAAATGCATTTTTGAATTGGCCCAAATAATTAGAAATTGTAGCTACATATTCATAGAAAAATATAAATATTATCATTTTTATTAAGTACATAGGGTTAAAAGGGTATAAGTGAGGTACTATTAATGGAAATTGTAAGTGATGAAAAGTACAAATGTCTAAACCAGCTTTTGTTAAATAGAGGAAACACATAGTCTGAAACAAGTGGAACAATTATTTCTTAATAATATTACAAATATTTCAATATTTACCGTAATAAAACCAAACTTTTCGATGTCATGTAATCGCTCAACATCTACTTTCTCCCTGTATAAATATAAAATTACTCTGATAGTGTTATTTTCCAATAAATTAAATCGGTACATAATTCAATAAACACGGGACTCCCTTGGACCGCATTTATGAATCAAATAATGTTTGGTTAGCGTCGTATCATTGAAGCAGAATTGTCGTTCAGCATACTCAAATCGTTAGTAGAGTTAGAAGAGTTCATTTCTCATAAAATTCGAGGTTGTCGTAATATCTAGCCGTAATCAATTCTCTTTTTTCTGGACTTGGCGAATAGCTCATATTTACTGCATTCTCCCTAGAAAATCTTTCAAATGTATCTTCTTCGCCTTTTTCAGAGATTTCTTCCTCGAGTATTCTTTCTAAATCTGATCGCGGAGTGGATACCGATAAAGGCGGCGGAGATTTGAGAGTGGGTGAAAAGTGCACTGGTGTTATTCCATTTATATCAGCTTCAAGGAGATGCTCTTCTCTGCTCCTCGATTCCCCTTTTGTCGTCAAACAGCCGGTTTCAACATCCCTCACGAGTCGATGGCCTGATTTCGATCGTGTCAACTGCCTCTGCACGTACTCAGCCAGGTCATCCTCTTCTTTCTTTGCGATAATCTTGTTCAGTATTATAAAAAATAGCCCGAGGATTATTGCTCCAAGGCCAGAGACAAATAGCTCGTTGAACCATCTGTAATCTTTGCTCCAATTATCAAGGTCGTCTGGTATGAGGCCGGAGCCAAGAAGGAAAAGGCCCAAAACGAGGAAGACTACTCCGATGTGGAGCATTCCGACGCTGGAGACGACTTTGTCCTCGGCGACTTTCGGCTTTCTGTAACCTCGGCGACTCTTCCTTTTTTCCAGGCTTCCTGTGCTGTTCCTCGGACTGGCACATGATGATCGTGATTCTCCCAGGCCCGACTCTGTTGACTGCGAACTGTATCTTCGTTCCTTGGCCCGTTTCTGTTCATTTCTGCGCTTTCTCTGCCTTTTGATGGCAAGCGCCGAGTGCAATCCTACTGCATGCATCCTGCAATCAATGTTGACTCATACAATTTTGAAAATAAAGTATATAATTTATTAATATAAAACATTTATAGACTTCCCAGAAAGGAAAAAAAAGAAGGGAAAACATAAGAAACAGACAGGGTAAAGCGTACAGTTGTTTTATATGTACACAAAAATTTAAGGGCGTCACTATTTCTATTATCCAATGGGGAAATTGACATCTTTTTGTAAATATAATAAAATTTTCTCTTCTTACTTTGTTAGAAGATAATTTTTAATACTTGAAGTTTTTTAACCATTTGTTTAAAAAATAGTTATGATTAGGGATAAGATTTCAGAATGATTGCAAATTTTGTTTGCTTAAATTTATCTTCTTTTTCAATCACTTCAATCATCGGTCAAAATATTGATTTTTAAATTTTAATTCAATGTTTATGGAAGTGGGATCACATGTGTCAATGAAACTTTTTTGGTGATACTAGGTCGAAAAATATATCATGTCAGATTCTCATACTTACCAATGGGTCCTTGGAACCGAGAAAAAATATTTGAAGTAAATTACCTTTTTTTTAACTATGGGTTTCTGTCTTTGCTCTGAATGTATAAAGATTATTATTTATCAGTCGATTCCTTTTTTACATAGGAAAAAAATAATGAGCAAGATTGTATTAAATGAGATTAGCTATATAAACAATTACAAAAAGTGAAGAGGTCTTAATAAAGAGGCCAGAAAAATTTGTTTAAAAAAATTTTGATTGGTTTTAAGCACCCTTTACATACTTTAAATACATTTAATATCCAGTTATAATTTATGTACAGAAACCAAGATTATGCCAATACGTGTAGTTTATAAATTTCTAAGCCACCGTTAAAAATCCTAATTACAAATTTTTGGGAAAATAATTTTTTTTTCTTTTAACTTTTCGCCTTCCAAATGCCTGTGATTTTTTTCGATGATCACAAAAGTGGTGATAACTGTCAAACGATCACTCAGAAATGGTACACAAATTTAGAACTCTATAAACTCACATTTAAATATTATCTTAGTACATACTGTAAAACAATAACTTTAAATTAGTGATTAATTAGTATGTCATAAGTATATGCTTAAAATTGGAGCTAATAAAATCTGTGATTTTATGTATAATGAATATATGTATTAAATTTAAGCATTACCTCGTGCATCGTATATTTTTCAGTGTATCGTGTTTTACAATCTTGCCTTTATTTTGATTCATGAAAGTATAATAATAATTATCTTAGTCAACATTCTAGTTTTTTTTTGTAGTTTTTCAAGGTAAAAAATAAGTCATTACCGGGTTGATAGTGAAGATAAGTTTATTCAATCATATAGTGGTGAATTTTTACAGTCTCTTTTAGATTGTTTTAACCAATAATAAAATTTTGTAAGAATTATCGTATCGTTTATAATTAATTAGAGATTATGTGTATCAAAGGTATTCAGGAATTATTCACAAGAGCGGGTCTATTAGTCTAACTTCAGCCGTAGGATAATAAAAGCTGCTAGACCTTCAAGACCGTTTTGTCGTGTAAAACTGTAAACCCGTTGCGCCGTCTTTGCCAAAACTGAAGATCGAATTAAAGATTATTTAGATATCATGAGATGCGGTCTGGTGTGACCTAAGTTTTAGAAAAAACATTTTCTTTATCGTGCCAACGTTTCGATCTTTATTGAGATCATTTTCAGGGCTCAAAGAATTTGTTTTCTGCGTAATTGTGTCATTCTTCTAAGTCGTGTTGAGAGTGCCTCAACAATGTAGTTGTAGTTGTTTTTAAAGTAGCTACGATGTATGTTAAAGGTTATTAATTTGTGCACTTATGAGTTGTTTTAGTGTTAAATATTATATATTTCTAAGTTTTCGAGTATGATCTTTTTCTTGTACATCGTGCAATAATTTCATGCTTCTATGTATTTTTGAGGGTTCAAGGTCGTTTTCTGTGAGGTGAGTCGCGTAATTTTACTTTCCGTCATTGCCTCTAAACGACTGTTTATGTTTTTATATTAGGTTTTTTATTTTGCGTCTTGTCTGTTCAATGTATTGGTCTAAATGCATATATGTAATTTTTGTTGAGTGGGTTGGTTTTGTCAATGTCTTATTAGCTTTCTAATTGTGTCTGTGTCTAGTTCCCTTCTACAATCTTTCTAACCCTCCGTTCACACGTAATCATCCTACTACTTTAAGTCCCACCGACAAGAAAGTCTCTTTTAGACCTTGTCCTGTAATCTCCGTTCTCCCAGATTTCACGATGCTGCTGTCCCACTCTTGATCAGTTCCGTCGTGCCGACCAACTTCTATTCTTTAGTTTTCTCTCTTAATCTCTTGCTTACGGATGTGTTGAGTACTAGGAGCTTGAAGATAAACTTAAAATTGTTTACTGGAAGATAAACTTGAACTTCTAAAGATTTTTTTGTGTTTTATCTTCGGCTCCAAAAGGAGGTCCCACGTAACTGTACTGAATTAAAATCCTACCACAAACAATACTTTCTTGGCTTCTTCCTCTATCAGGTGATATCTCCCATCCCTCTCCCTGGATATACGACCTCTCACCTTCAGATTCTCCGCTCGAACTCCTTCCCGTCCTGATCAAAATCTCTTCAGACTCACAACTACTGCGTTCTCTATTCCCTTCCTCACTTTGTCCATCAAGCTCCATCACTATTCATGTTTAAGTCCTGTATATTTGATTACCTCTTGTCTTTACAACTTATCACCGACTATTTTTAATTTCCATAGTAGAATTTTTTATTTTATATGTTTATATTTTTTTTTTTGTAAATAGACATCTTCATATAGGCTTGGATCATTATAGATACGATATATTCATAGCTAATCTCAAAATAAATTTCATTTTTTTATTTTATTTAATTTAAAATGAGTATAATATTTTTGACTTATTATCAGCAATAAAGGTTGCAGTAAAATCAGTCAGCCCACATCTGTAGTACATATCTCCCTTGTGATAACTAAATTTTTGTTCTTAATACATTTTTTACTGTAACAAAAAAAAATTTAGTTTTTGTTGGACAAAAATCCAGGCTGAAGTTGTGACGTTTTATATATATTTTTTAAAAATTATGTTCTTTAAAAAAAGTGCTTAATGTTTAAAAAATTAAACACGTTTTTGGATTAGTGACGCTCTCAAAAATAGGAAAGTAAATTAATGCTATTAAGAAATAGTGTCGTATTTCACAGAAAACTAAGAAAAATATTATGATAACAAAAGTATACACACAAATAAACAAAAGTACATGTGGTAGAAATTATTCGCTAGTTAAGAAGACTATAGATTATGAAGTCAATGGAGTTCAGCAGAAAAATTGAATTTAGACCCAAAGTTAATTGAAAAAAATATTTACTCACAAAAATATTTTGATTTACTTACATTAAGCCAATCGAATGTCAAATTTGGGCCGATAAAATTAGTTACAAAAATTAAACGCCTGTTCTGAAAAATAGAATTCATGTTTTAAAAATTTACATAATACATTTATTTTTATAATACTTCAAAGACAAATAGGTGAAGAAATGGGTTTGGATTGGGCTTTATTTACTTTTATATTACGAATTTTTCTGTTATTCAGTGTGTCACATTTAATTTGAATGTACTTTTTTTAATATTTAACCAAACTAATAGTAAACAAATTTAAACTGTTTGTCTACATAAAGAATTCACATTGTTAAAAAAAATTTAGTACTCATTAATATCCAATAATAAGCCTGGGACTTTATTACGTTCAAGTTAAGTACACTTTCTTGATGGAAGGATTGGATTCGCTGGATATTGGATGGCTTGGAACTATACAGTTTCACTACGTATTTCCAAAATGGAAGATTTCTGTCTTATAGAGAATAAGTTCAATTCACTAGTTTCATGGTCCGCTTGACCAATTAATATCTTACAATTAATTAAGGTTTTCAGTTGAGATAAAAAAGGTCAATGGCACGAACGGGATTCGAACCCACGACCTTCGGCTTGATACGCCGCTGCTCTACCACTTGAGCTATCGTGACCTCGATCCAGTCGGATACCAACTTCCCATCTCAACCACACCTTTTGAATTTTCCCTCCTTTTTGCCATTTTTCAAATGTCGTGTAATCAATTTGATTCTCGGCGACAAATGAAATGGCCACGGAGAACTTTAGTGAAGGTACACTTCATTTTAAATTTATTCAATTCACTAGTTTCGTGGTCCGCTTGACTACTTATATCCAATTATTTTTATCTCAACTGAAAACCTTAATTAATTGTAAGATATTAATTGGTCAATTCTGTTTCTGTTTCAAGTATTCTGTTGTCTCAAGTACGTTGCTGTCTCTTAAGTTTGGTCGGAGGATTGCAAGTCAGTCTGTGGTATAGTCCTAAGTATCAGACTTCAGTGGAAACTTCTACTAGTTGATGTACAATGGAGGGCAAGACTTCTTTTTAAATTTACACGTTCACTGTCTAAAATTTTTCCTCATTTAACCTTGTCTTTTAATTTTACACCGATCTTTGATCAGTTCTTGGATATTGGAGGTTGCTTGAATGGGAGACAGTTATAAGATAAAATTGCGTTATCATCCATAATAATGTAGTTGGGATGTACAGGAAAGTCAGCAGTATAAATGGTAACAAGATGGGAACAAGAATCATTCCTTGAGAGAAACCGGCTTGCTTTGGATTGCACCTCACTCTGAAGCAGCCGTCAGTTATATAGAATTCCAGGATAAGGTAGTATAGATGTAGAAAAACGTTCAAACTTATCGAGAATGCCCGGGTGCGAGTCCTGTTCCTGGAACGCAACCAAGCAATACGCTTTGTTCTTTAGAGCGGATGTAAACACCTCTGAAACTTCCTGGATCGTGGAATGATGAGGTCTGCACCCAAAAGGATTAATTTGATATGAATTTAGAATGAGTATTAAACGTTTTACGAAAAGACTTTTGAGGATTTTTGAAAATACAGGAAAAAAGTTTATAGGCCTGTACAGGATAAGTGGTTGGGAAGTTATGATTTATGGATAAAAATGGCACTGGAATATTTGATTTATTTAAACAAATTAATTAAATATTATACAAAGGCATGCAAAACAATCTCAAATTGTCCGTACGTTCTTTTCATAGATTTCTAATATTTTGACAAACAGGAAACTTTTGCAGTAAACAATGAGAAAATGTTTTGTAATGTTTGGTTCTGAATAATTCATCGTCATATAAAAGGACTGTATAATCACAAACTTCATTTATTTAAAAGCTTCAGAAATTTGAGGGGGAAAAAATAAGCCTTAGGCGTAAACTGTTGTGTTCCAAACATTATTTCTTCGTAAATTAGGTAAATCATGATACTTACTTTGTACTATCTTTGTTTTGTACTAATGTACGTCGACTACGGCCAGAAGCTCAGTGATATCCCTTCACATCTTGTGCGTTCTTTAAGTAATTGAATTTTTCCTTTTTGTTCGTCCTTTTCAATGCATAATCTACTCGTTCCACAGTTCCTTTTTAGTCTGGAAACTAAATTTGAAAATACAAACATAGAAAAAAATTGGCAGTAAAGAAACGTGTTAGTAAAATCGCCTGATCGATGCGAGGATTTTGTGACCTTTTGTTTAAATTTTAGTTGAAAATCCTTACAAATTGATTTTACACAATATAAATAAGCCCGTTTTATTATTTCATTTTTTAGCAAAGACAAAATTTAATGAGTTGGTTTTTTATTTAATAAATTCAGAAAATTTATGAGCATAATTCCTTGAACATAGCTCGTACAGTGAACTAATTAATTATTAGTTATTTACTCGTTCTTCTCCTGTGACTTTTCATGTCAACGATCAAATAGGATGAAAAATGATTCATGAGAAAGTATCTAAATGATTAATCGAGTGAAATTGATGCAGAATTAGCGAATGTTACAACTCTTCATTCAACTATAAAAAAATAGATAAACGAAAAGAAAAACGTGCAAAAAAAATATTGTTCAACACTAATTATTCTTCAAAAATATTGAACCGTTAATTTTAAAAAGCAAATATAGTTCTGAATTGAAAGTTCAACTGATATCCTTCCTCAGAAATCAAATTATAAGTCCGGTCGAAGTCACGATAGCTAACGTCTTTCAATTAATTAATCTTTATGTAAGGTATTGGTTGAAATGAAAAGTATGTGTCATGAGCTATCGTGACTTTTTCATTTCAACCAATACCTTACATACAGATTAATTAATTGAAAGAAATTATTTGGTCAATCGGCCCACGGAATAGCTCAAGCGGTAGAGCAGCGGCGTATTTAGCCGAAGGCCGTGTGTTCGAATCCCGCTCCTGACACTGAATTTTTTATCTCAACCACTACCTTAAATACAGATTAGTTTTTGGTTAAATTGTTTTACTCAATTTAACTTAACTAATATTAACTAATAAATGATATATATATATAATTAATATTGTTTTTCAATTAATTAATCTTTATGTGAGGTATTGGTTGAGATAAAAAAAAGTCAGTGCCACAAGCAAGATTCGAACCCACGACCTGCTGTACCACTTGAGCTATCGTTACTTCAAGTGGTCAGAGCAGCGGCGTATTGAGCCGAAGATCTTGGGTTCGAATCCCGCTCATGACACTAACTTTTTTATCTCAACCAATACCTTACAAAAAGATTAATTAATTGAAAGATGCTATTTGGTCAATCGGACCACGAAATCTAATGAATCAAATTATAAGGTTTAGTCCGACAGAATAAGGTAAAGGAAGGGACTTGGAGACGGGTTAATAAAAATATAAGGCATACCGCCCGACTAATGACCGTAGTAATGGGATAGTGCGATAACTCCCTAGGGGGAAGGATCACGCTACACACTATACTTATTTACAAAAAAAATACACATCTTCGAATCGATCTAATAATTAAACAAAAAACGAATAAAGAAATGCAAACTAATTTCACCATGCGAAAGGTAATTTACGATGTAAAGGAAAGGGGTTGCTTACTAGGTCATGTCGTAATTGATGAACCGGGGCGTTATGAACCATTTTCACGGCGCGATGCTTCTTTCATTAATCGTAAAACTTTTCCCTAGGCAAATAGCCGTTGTTGTAAGGAAAAAAGAGTAGAAATATCTTCTTCTAGGGATTCTTTATTCTTCTATAAATAACATTTTAATAGCTAAATGGTTTCATGTGTAACTGAGACGTTTGGATAAAGTTTACAATCTGTTTAATCTTGATAAAAGAAATAACAAATGTCACAAGGACGAAAGTTATAAATGGTCGAGAATAAAGAACTCCTTCCGTGGCGTAATAACTCCCATCAACAATGTCAGATAAGCACGATTAATTGTTTAATTAGGCAAAATGGCTTGCAAGTCAAGTAAAAACAAGGCAGACTTAAACTAATTAAAAACTTCAAAATTGGTAATGGTTTTAATATGTGGTGAGCGGCTCGATTGAGCCCGAGCGCGAGCATGAGTTGAGGGTGCTCCGAGTGAGTAGTGAGCCGTCAAGCCCTTGGCTAGGGTGAGTCAGGTTGCCCGGCCTGATGGGTAAGTGCTCACCACTTTCCGCTAACTCTGAAGGGGTAGGTTTAGNTCCTTAAATTTTTGACTTCAACTTTTCGACTGCTTCCTAATTCTTTAGGGATAGTATTTAAGTCAATCAGTCGGGGCCGAGGTAGGCACGCTTCAAGCTTAGAAAATTCTGTTATGGTGACTCGTTTGCCCCTTTTTCTCCCCCAAGTTGTGTAGCTTTTCTGGGTGAACCCCCCAGCTAATCCTAGGGGTTAAGGCATGAGGTCACATTTCAGCACAGCAGTAAATATTTCCTTGGCAATTGCCCAGGATCGATCCTTATTACTCAATCGTAAACACCCAGCTGTTATTATTTCGCCAGCTTTGTTTAGCTGTGTCTGCGGTTTTCGTGAAAGAGTAGGTCGGCTTGCAGGATTCTAGGACACTCCCGATTGCCCAATCTTACACAGTACGCTTTCCTAACCATTAGCCGAAATACCCTTCCATCCCATCTTAAAATTTACAATGAATTTAATTTCTAACAAAGCTGGTTAAGATTCCTTTCTGGAATCTTCACATAATACAAAAATTGCATTTGTCGTTGTTATTAGAAAAGAAAAAAGAAGAAAAAACTATTATTACACGTAAAAATAAAGTATATTAAGGATAACTGAATACGTCAAAGCATCCTCTACTTATACCAACATGAAAGAAATGAAAAGTACTAGAGAAAATATTGGACACTCAAGCACACGGTGAAAGCGACTTTTAAGCAGTAAGACTTCACTCCCGAGTGGTTTATAATTGTCTGTCTGAAACTTAAACACATAAGAAAGTCGTTTTACACGTCCCGCAAGCTTTGAAAATAAGTAAGAAAGTGGGCAGAAAAAGGCAAGACCAAGAAGTGATAAAATCCTGCAAGAGACCGGGGCGGAACGCGATGAAAAAGTAATTAAGTGGTTTTGAAGTGGAATTGTGTAGGGAACGGAGTAAAAAGGGCTGACAAGCCTCCCCGACCTTTGGAATTCGTGAAAAAACCAGAGGAAAAAATAGGAGGGCGACCTCGAACATTTTTCTGGGCGTTAACTCAATAAAATGGGAATAATGAAAAGAAATGTTTTCACGCCCAGGACAATAATTTTGGAAAAATATTAACTAACCATTGATATGATTTTACACAAAATGTCGTAATTATGGTGTAAAAAAGTAAGTAGATTTTCTTTGTATCATTATGTCCTGAGTTGTCGAAAAAATATTATCAGTAGGTAGACTAAAAATATAGATTTTGTCCAGAAAATATTTTTAAAACTAACCAGGCATTTTATTTTACAGGAAATAGAGGATTTCAATGATTATTTAATTGAATTGGAATGAAACTTCGATATTCATGGACGCAAAACATCGATAATATCTGGAACACGTAACGATATCATTTGGTACAAAACATCAATACTGTGTTACGAAATGATGAAAATCTTTCTTTGACACAAAAAATCGATACTACATGGCAAAATGATATAAGATGATATCATTTTCATACAAAATATCGATATTCTTTAANTGGCACAACATATCGATATTCTTTAATACAAATCATTGATACTCTATATTCTTTGACCCGAAAAACGGATATTTCATGGGGAAATGACGGCTATTTTTGACACTAATTCCAACATTGCTATTTTGTACTTTATGGTACAAAATCTCAATATTCTAAGATAAAAACATTGATGTTGTGAGATACAAAATATTGAGATTCTTTAACGCGAAAAATCGATACTAGTTAGGCAAAATGTTAGATATGTTTTACAAGAAACATCGATATTCTGTGGAATAAAATGCCGATATTCTTTGGAACGAAACTTCGATACTCTATAGAATTAAACATTAATATTCTTCGATATAAAACACCGATAATTAGTTGCACAAAATTTTGATATTTTTTAACACAAAAAATTGATGCTCCGGGGCATAAAATATCAATATTCTTTGATTCGGAAAATCAATTTTTATGAAACAAAACATCAAAGGTTAAAAAAAGATTTAACATTTTTTGCCCAAAATGGCCCATAATATCCAAATTTGGTGACACATAATATCTTTTGAAACAAAATATATATAGCAAAATAAAACAGTGATTAAGAAAATCGTGCAAACCGACTCGAGCCACCCAACAACCCCAACATAAACACGATCAACAAAATAATAAACAACACACCCATAATAACAAAACGACACCGAAATACTGACACTAAATGGAACAAATTTATAACTTTTTTATACATAGAAAAATGTATAAAATAAAATCTATTCAACAATTTAGGAATTAGAAAAGCACTGAAGACCAAAACAGTCGGAAAACTACTAAGAAAGGACTTAACATAATTAACAAAAATGGCATATACACCATGTGACAAATACATCGGACAGACAGAACAAAAAATAAAACACAGATACAATGAGCATGTAACATTGTTCAGGGACGGAAAATCAGATTGGGCGATTCTCAGAAGACAATTACAGACCCTTAACAATACAGACAAATACGAATCTTCTACACACAAAAGACAAAAATAAACCTCGCAAATTGGAAAAATGCAACATAACACATTAAACCGTAGAAATCTCAGAAACAAACAAATTAACAACAGTTCACATACATTTATAGCTTACACTATTCAAAACACTATACCAATTATTAGTCAAAAGATCAACGATCACAAAACCTCACTTCTCACTACCATATTAAAAAGACTCGACTGCAAAAAAATCACACAGACTCACTGAAAATAGCGAAATGCCTAAACGCGCTTGATCCAGCGAGACCAAACCAGCGAAAATAGGCAGACCAAAATTGTCGGTAGCGACCAAATAATAGGTTTAACACCACGCAGATCACTCCTATATGATAGGGGTATTGACGATGTTTGTAAGATGTTAACTCGTGTTAACTCGAATAGAGAAATGTCCAGTAAGATCGTAAACGCCCCCCTCTTTTCTTAGCATGTTAAACGT